ACTGAGCTGTCAAACTTAAACAATTCTCATATCTCACACTGACCCAGCAAATCACACAAAACGGGTTCTGAATTCTAAGTACTTTCCTTCGAGATGTTGACTCTATATAGTGTAGCCTTCCACCATTAATTTCATACATTTGCGCCTAAGATCGGAAAAAACAAACAAGAAAAGGTTGGCAATATAGAAATTATAGTGAAATTATGGTGAAATTGTAGTGAAATTATGCACTTTATAATTTATACCGAAATTAGAGTAAAATTTTGGATACCTAAGGAATTGAGCGCACCTTTTACCCGAACAGCAAGGTGACTCATGGGTCAGAATACTAGCAGTAATTTGGAGAACAGATGGCTTCAAACAAAAATTCTCCGTGTATCGTAAGGATCGAACCAGCACAAGTAGCACACGCGGCAACCAAACTGAACCCAACAGATCGGCAGGAAAAAAGTTCATTCTTGCGTAGAAATAAAGGAAAATGATTGCTTTTGCAAATAAGTCCAAAATACGTAAAATGGATGAAAACGGCCTTACCCTTTTCAGACCTGCTAAGTAGTTTTGTGTATTCCGTTGTCTTGTAAGAGACAACAAGTCTATAAACTTATGAAAAACTTATTGATCCAGCTGGTCTAGCTATCGAAATGAATCATATATATTCGCTCTAGTATTCCCCGCTTAAGAAGTATCAACAAACACTGTACAGCCTAATAACCTTCTTCGATACCTTATGAAGCTTACACGACGAAAGAGCTAAGTTATTAGGTTGTCCCTAGTTTTTCGTCATGGAATCTTTAGAACTATGAAGAACACGTTTTCATAGTAATATCGTTCTTGCTCTCTATCGTTGCTTAAGAGGATATTATAATATTTTTGTTGGGAACCTTGATTGCTTTTTTTCGTAATTGCAAAGTAAATTTCAAATACTTTCGCCCTAAACTTTTAGGGGGCTGGTTTCACTGCGTTTTATTGTAAATCACTGCAAACTTGATCAGTATTGTGCAACAGTTCTACTACCTCCTCTGCCTCTTTCAATGTGGATCCACAAGATGGCATAGAAGCGTTGGCGATTAACAACATTGGATGGGAGAGAGAGGGGAAAGACCCTTATAGACGTTGTTCAGCAGAAGTGTCCAAATTAATTATGTATATGAAAAAGAAAATCTTGGAAAGGAACCTTCATATCAAAATGGGAACATCAGCGTAGGGGAAATTTCTCCTCAAATACGAAAAAAATATATCGGAACGTACTATGTGAAGGATAATCCCCATTCCCATGTAAATCAAAGAACCCTAGCATCCCCTCCTTGTCAGCGAGGAAGCCCGAAGGCCAAATTGCACAACTACGAGTAGATGAACAGACTTTTTCAAGCAGAAGCTTTATTTCCTCAAACTAAACAGCAAAGTTACATGGCATTGTCTAAGTAATTCACTGGAGTGGAATACAACCAATGTATATTTTAAAATGGGTAGCCCAAGCTACCTCTGACGACACATTTACCGACTGAATTCTACAACATAACTGAGAAATAATTGAAGTGATCATGGACTACATTAACTTGACTACCGAATACGAAAAATGACAAAATGAGGCATCGTAACCCACAGACATAGAGCTCTTGCAAAACACATTCGTCGCTTGATCTTTCGCCTAAATTCCTTTTGTTGAACAGTTTCACAGTTAATAACTTAACCTAATAATTGCTTATTAATTGCTTACTTGAGGCATATTCAAATAAATAAATAAATAAATGAAAAAGAGAAGAGTGTTATCCATCAGCAAGTCCGATGCACATGCCTTTTCTTCAAAATCGAACATACCAGGCCTTTAACTCGTCAGACGGCTGTTTCAGCGGGCATTTCAACTAGAAGGAGAGAGGAAATATGGCATATTGAGACCTGTTTCTTTAATAAGGGCGAATGTAAGACGTGAAACGGCTAGCAACTTTTTCAAAGTTGTCCGGATTAAATGATAATGCTTTGGTTAAAAAGCATCATCATGGTTTTAGAAAATGGGTGCAAGTTTCCGCCGAGATCTTATGCTGTAAACAATTTTTGTGGAACAGGCGCTATATTACATATTCGAATCTTGTGCTCATCACCACCGCGTCGATCCGAGTCACGTGGTATTTATTTGGTGCGATCAAAAGGCGATTAAAATGCCGCGTTTGGGCCTCTGGTAAAGTACTTGCAGTAATGCCTCATAACTATCGAGGCTTATCTGGGTTTACCCGTCAGAGAGCGATTAGAAATTTTGCAAGACATCCCACCCATCAAGTTCCCTGACAAGTGCAGTTCTTCTACCTTGGGATATTCCTTTGCATAAAGAGACAAAGAAAGAGTAAATTGTTTTGCAATGGCTTCTCAATAAAAAGCAGAATACAGATAAAGGTTTCAAACTTAGCCGGGGCTTGGCCTTTTGGGCTCTATTGCAGCTGAATCATATAAGGTGAACGGCACTTACCTTTCATTGGTTCCTCTTTTTTCTCTACAAAATGTTCCAAGTCAATCATGGGCAGTAAGTCGCAATCAACTACAGGATTATCTCCACTTTTACCCGTTTTCGGACGGAAGGCCTTTCCCTGAATGAAGAACACGCTATTATTGTTGTCGCACAACACTCGTGCCAGTGAGACATGTCGTATCTGGTCCAGTTGTTCAATGGTGAACCCAGTTTCAGGATTGTTCCTTTCATACCAAAATCGATCACCGAAGCGCAAGTTAAAAAACTGCTTGGTCATAAGGCAAGTGTAGGTGAACCCCATTTGACTTCCCTTAACAGGAGACTCGGTGATGCCGCCGGGGAAGAGATCGATATCTTTCACAGTTAGATACACTGATTTGAGATTGTCGATGTTTTTCTGTGTTGTTGTGGTGAGAAGGTCAGGAAAGAATTTCGCCTTTCCTGCTCCACAAAGTTCTCGGAAAACTGCATAGGGTGGTAGGCCATGATCCCGACCACGTTGAATGTTTATTGCAGTAAGGTCGCCGACGATACCATTAATATCCGGTCCTTCAATAATGAGACTTTCCCGTATAGGTTCAACAAAGTTCCTGGGGAAGAAATTCAAGACTTTTTATTGGTTTAGCCATTATGGTATATCAGCCAATATACCATAATCTACAAATATGGCAAGCGTATGTGTCAGCTTAAAATTAAAAGGGAGCTAAAATTTAATAATTTGATTTAAAGTTTTTAATAAAACGATTATTCCACTCGCGCTTGTTGGATATGAGATGATTATAGCCAACTCGGCGCTACGCGCCCCGTTGGCTCTCTATTAGCTCATATCCAACGCGCGCTCTTGGAATAATTGTTAATTAACCATTTTAGTCCTTGAGCTTCAAAATCTTCGGTGAGAAATGGCGAAATGTATATTTAGGTGGTGTTCACAACAGGCGTGATCGTGATGTTAGGATGCGATACTTAATTAATATAACATCGTGTAGAATGCTTGGAGGTACTAGTTATTCATGAGCTCTTTATCAATTGTATGGACTTTTAGTTAGTAACCAAAGCAGTATTTTGTGAAACAGACTCTCATAGATTGTTATTCAAAAATCCCTTCGAAATAATCCCCACTTTTTGAGAACTACTTCACATTTTCATGTATCGTTATGTAGGTCTCTTTTTTAATCCATTAACAACCCTGGGGACTAACTACCAGAAGGTATGAAATCTAATTTTTCAAACTTTAGAAAGTTGGCGAATTCTTTCATTTTTCAGAGTCTCGTACTGAGGTTTATTGCTTCGCATTGAATTTTAAAACATTTATATGGGGCTATGAATGAACACATATTTAGTAATTTATCAGAATAAATAAATCAGAATTCCGTTTCTATCAAGTGTCACTCATCTTAGACTTATAAATGNTTCTTTTATGTCATGATTTTGCGGTGTCCTTCAAAATGGTAAAAATTACATTACGCCTTAATCCAGTCACGCGACAGGAAAAAGATCTTTCAAAGATCTTTAACAAGAGCCTAATATTTAAAGATATTTGATACCTGTTCTGTTTGCCGGATTTCATAGTTGAGCCCCTTAAAACTGTCGGGAACAGAAATGTCGTATTTGTAAATTCAAAATAAAAGTTTTTGTTTACCACAAAATGTAGTCCGTCCTAAAGGACAGGCACTAACTCCTTTGATAACATATCCTTCATTAAAATAAATTAATTTCCAATTGCAATAAATAAAACTCTATGAGCCTAAACGAAATGCACTGCTTTTTTGTTCCTCATCTTGCAAATTTTACGAACAGTTATGTTCTTTATTTCTTTATTTAAGTCTTCTCCAGACCCGACCATCGAGGCAACAGTGTGTTTCAAGTCACAAAATTGTACAACAATTACGTCATTAAAAAGAACTATTATGATTCGGTGTCGTGAACTATAATTAACTGTTGCCATTGTGGAGACCACCGAATAGTTTTGCTTTTTCAACGCTATACGCTCTACTATAACGTAGGTCAATTGTTTTTCAAGCACCCACAAGTGCGTACTTCATCAACGATAACAATGACCAAACAAACAATGCACTCAGTCATTATGTTTATAAACGTGCATATTGAAGAGGGGTAGATATCGGTCTTTAAAAACTCACGTGCGTCAGAGAGATTTTATACACATTTTTTTGAATGTTTCTTTTTTTACCTTGAATTTAAAATGGAATTGTTTTCGAGTTTCCTTTGCCACTTTAGGTGATGTTACTCTTCAAGCAAAAGAAGTGTGTCCTTAAAGTTTGGCTATTTACGAGCGCATTTAAAAGTGCCTGCGAACCAGGCACTTTTAAATGCGCTCGTGCACGATGTAAAACGTGTCCTTTCATTCACAACACTGAGAAAATATCGAAACCCAAACGATCCATTGAGATCCCCGATCACTTCACCTGCACCTCCGCCAATGTAATCTATTGCATAACTTGCACTTATTGCAAAAAGATTTACATCGGCGAAACAAGCAGAAGACTGGTGACCCTTTTCGAGAACAACTTTACGACGTGGAGAGGAATGACAAGGACACTTCGAAACCAGTCGCTAGACATTTTAATTTACCTAACCATTCTAAGCAACACATAGCAATCTGCGGTCTTTCCTTACACTTAGGTAGCACGGAAAGCCGGAAAACTTTTGAACAAAAGCTCATCTTTCAAACCGGCAGTCCCACAGGTATCAACGAACGCTTTTCATTCCACTAATTTATTCGTGTTTTTCTCGTTGCCATGTTCCCACCAATCACGTAGCTTCTTTTTCTGCCTTTGCACACACAACCCACAATTCCTCTATTCGCTCCGACGAAGGGCTAACGCTCGAAACGTCAGCTTTTATAATCGTAAAGGTGGCCAATTTGCCATGTCAACTTTGTTGATATATTCAAATTGATGCGAATTATGACTTTAAAAGTAACGACCGCGAGGAACGTTTTGAGTCGGTGCCGTTTAAAATTGCGTAATTTTTACACAAATTATAAATCAAATTGTTGCATACGCTCGAGACTTTCAACCTATGAAGTTTAAAAGNACACATTTACCGACTGAATTCTACAACATAACTGAGAAATAATTGAAGTGATCATGGACTACATTAACTTGACTACCGAATACGAAAAATGACAAAATGAGCCATCGTAACCCACAGACATAGAGCTCTTGCAAAACACATTCGTCGCTTGATCTTTCGCCTAAATTCCTTTTGTTGAACAGTTTCACAGTTAATAACTTAACCTAATAATTGCTTATTAATTGCTTACTTGAGGCATATTCAAATAAATAAATAAATAAATGAAAAAGAGAACAGTGTTATCCATCAGCAAGTCCGATGCACATGCCTTTTCTTCAAAATCGAACATACCAGGCCTTTAACTCGTCAGACGGCTGTTTCAGCGGGCATTTCAACTAGAAGGAGAGAGGAAATATGGCATATTGAGACCTGTTTCTTTAATAAGGGCGAATGTAAGACGTGAAACGGCTAGCAACTTTTTCAAAGTTGTCCGGATTAAATGATAATGCTTTGGTTAAAAAGCATCATCATGGTTTTAGAAAATGGGTGCAAGTTTCCGCCGAGATCTTATGCTGTAAACAATTTTTGTGGAACAGGCGCTATATTACATATTCGAATCTTGTGCTCATCACCACCGCGTCGATCCGAGTCACGTGGTATTTATTTGGTGCGATCAAAAGGCGATTAAAATGCCGCGTTTGGGCCTCTGGTAAAGTACTTGCAGTAATGCCTCATAACTATCGAGGCTTATCTGGGTTTACCCGTCAGAGAGCGATTAGAAATTTTGCAAGACATCCCACCCATCAAGTTCCCTGACAAGTGCAGTTCTTCTACCTTGGGATATTCCTTTGCATAAAGAGACAAAGAAAGAGTAAATTGTTTTGCAATGGCTTCTCAATAAAAAGCAGAATACAGATAAAGGTTTCAAACTTAGCCGGGGCTTGGCCTTTTGGGCTCTATTGCAGCTGAATCATATAAGGTGAACGGCACTTACCTTTCATTGGTTCCTCTTTTTTCTCTACAAAAAATTCCAAGTCCATCATGGGCAGTAAGTCGCAATCAACTACCGGATTATCTCCACTTTTACCCGTTTTCGGACGGAAGGCCTTTCCCTGAATGAAGAACACGCTATTATTGTTGTCGCACAACACTCGTGCCAGTGAGACATGTCGTATCTGGTCCAGTTGTTCAATGGTGAACCCAGTTTCAGGATTGTTCCTTTCATACCAAAATCGATCACCGAAGCGCAAGTTAAAAAACTGCTTGGTCATAAGGCAAGTGTAGGTGAACCCCATTTGACTTCCCTTAACAGGAGACTCGGTGATGCCGCCGGGGAAGAGATCGATATCTTTCACAGTTAGATACACTGATTTGAGATTGTCGATGTTTTTCTGTGTTGTTGTGGTGAGAAGGTCAGGAAAGAATTTCGCCTTTCCTGCTCCACAAAGTTCTCGGAAAACTGCATAGGGTGGTAGGCCATGATCCCGACCACGTTGAATGTTTATTGCAGTAAGGTCGCCGACGATACCATTAATATCCGGTCCTTCAATAATGAGACTTTCCCGTATAGGTTCAACAAAGTTCCTGGGGAAGAAATTCAAGACTTTTTATTGGTTTAGCCATTATGGTATATCAGCCAATATACCATAATCTACAAATATGGCAAGCGTATGTGTCAGCTTAAAATTAAAAGGGAGCTAAAATTTAATAATTTGATTTAAAGTTTTTAATAAAACGATTATTCCACTCGCGCTTGTTGGATATGAGATGATTATAGCTAACTCGGCGCTACGCGCCCCGTTGGCTCTCTATTAGCTCATATCCAACGCGCGCTCTTGGAATAATTGTTAATTAACCATTTTAGTCCTTGAGCTTCAAAATCTTCGGTGAGAAATGGCGAAATGTATATTTAGGTGGTGTTCACAACAGGCGTGATCGTGATGTTAGGATGCGATACTTAATTAATATAACATCGTGTAGAATGCTTGGAGGTACTAGTTATTCATGAGCTCTTTATCAATTGTATGGACTTTTAGTTAGTAACCAAAGCAGTATTTTGTGAAACAGACTCTCATAGATTGTTATTCAAAAATCCCTTCGAAATAATCCCCACTTTTTGAGAACTACTTCACATTTTCATGTATCGTTATGTAGGTCTCTTTTTTAATCCATTAACAACCCTGGGGACTAACTACCAGAAGGTATGAAATCTAATTTTTCAAACTTTAGAAAGTTGGCGAATTCTTTCATTTTTCAGAGTCTCGTACTGAGGTTTATTGCTTCGCATTGAATTTTAAAACATTTATATGGGGCTATGAATGAACACATATTTAGTAATTTATCAGAATAAATAAATCAGAATTCCGTTTCTATCAAGTGTCACTCATCTTAGACTTATAAATGTACTTTATCAATACTTACTTGTCGATCAGCTGTGCCAGTTCAACAACGAGACCATGTAAGATTTCATCCACGAAGTTGATTTTTAATCCAAGGTATAATTTTTGGGGATTAAAAAAGTCCAGATCCAATTTTTCTAAAGCAAAACGCCGCTTGCTTCTCCTGAACCTTGAGTTTGTAACCAAAAGGAATTTAGATCGAATCAAGGTATGACCCACTCTCAGCACCGCTGCACCAAAGCTGTTGTGAATTGTTGGATTCACGCTTGGATCATATCCATCGAAGAATTCACCTTTTGGCGCCAACGTTAAGTTTTCCCTTTCCAGCTGAGAAAGGACAACAAAACCAACATCAATAATTATGCAACGATATCTTTCCTGCAACATTTTGGCATAAGTAAAGGTCCAATGGACAACACATGTACAGAAATCACTGAGATTTGAGTGTTCGTTAATTATGAATAAAATACTGCAAGAATCTAAGGAGTATCAGGGAAGTAACAAATGAGATTCGGAAGGGTTGCATCCGTACAACATGTGGCTAAGTTCTATTCAATCAGGGGCAAAACATTGAAACTTAAAAAAAGCGCTAACAATGAACGAAGAGACCTTGCAGCTCTTTGGGTACACATATTCATGAAAGCCATTCCGCTCTCCTGGAAGAAAAGGATTATCATAACAAAGGTTTTTCATGGATAGCGTGAAAAGTAATTCACTTATTATGTATTTTTACGCGGAACATCTCCCCTAAAGCCGTTGAGTCTCATCGTTCATTTGGTCATAGTTTTGTGAAACGGACGCGAACTGGAGTATATTTTTGCTTTACTACGACTCACAATTTCCTCACTGAAGAGCACTGGAAGCCATTCGTTGTAAGTGATGTGCTGAAGTTCAGCGATCACGATTTTCCTCGCCAGCTGATAAACTTCCTCAGCCCCCAAATGTTTATCAAGTTCCGTCAGTCTAGCGGCGATACGATTGTGTTCGCGAACCCACAGCGTGTGCATTGCCATTAACGCTGTCAATCAAAGGAACGTTCCGTTAGCATTAGTTCTTGGCGATTTTATTTACATTATATCAGTCAATAAATAAGTTTTATACCGGTTATAGAAGCAGAATAGAAAAAACCAAACTGGTAAAAAAAAGTGATTGCTAGATATCTAGGTATGTATGATGGGTCTCCCACCTTGATTTTCATTAACTCTTTCGTCACCGGCCCGGAAACAAGGCTTATCCTTTGGTTTCGGGGATCTACAGAAAGCCTCTTCCTCCGCCTCTGGAAGGAGTCCGCATCGCCGCTCAACTTCAGATACTGGGTATGGCATGGTTGCCAAAAATCTCGGATCCTCTTCGTCACGGAGCTCCTCTGCATTTTCCTTATCTGAACCATACACTTGTGAACCATCCATGTGGGAAGTTATGATGTTTAGCTGCCATAGGAAAAGGAATTATATGTCAGAGCTACCTCAGCTTAGAGGTGCGTTTTTTAATTGAAAGGTGGTTTAGAAGCTCCATGGAGAGCCTTTAAAGTTGGTCTTGAAGGGAGGGATATGTGAGTTATAAAATATATAAAAAAAAGAAACATTGTACAGCTCGCTAGTCTTAAGAAATTCCTTATTTCTCACGTTATTTTTCTACATGTTCATTTTGCTTTCATTCGGGAGAACGGGAAATGAACTCGGATGTGCATTTCTTTATTTAAAGGAAAAACAGCTTTCAGATCGTTTACTCTTTGAGGAGCGATTGTAGGATACTGAATACCGGGTTTTTTTTCCTATCCTTTTTTTTTTTTTCCATGTGATATCAATATAGCTGAACGTTTTAAATCAATTTTTTTTTGTATTTCCAAAATAAAAAGCCATTTGACATTTCTAACTAACCTGCTCGCCTTCTTCATTCTGACTGGCCCTCCTTAGGGGTATACACTGTACGGTCTGATTATTAACAAGTGGCACAGCAGTTGGAATGGGAATGTTAGTGCATCCTTCGATTTCTTGACATGGTTTCTCCTGCTCCCCACACTCTATTTCTGGAACCAACTGAGTCAGGGTCAAATCATGATCCAAAAATTGCCCCCAAGTCATTGTCACGTGGGTAAAATTTGGAGCGGTGTCGTTCACATTAGCGTCTGAGCTGGCGAAGACAGCTGTACTAATTGTCCTTGCTAATGTGAGCTGTTTGCCAGAGACAGCCGAATCTATTCGGGGTTTGAAGCCTGGGGCAAAAGCAGTGGGAGGATCTAGGCCTGGAATACGTGAAAATGGTATACCGGCGGCTCCATTGGTGATATTGCAGAGGTTGTTACAGGTGCCGTCAAAGGTGCGATATTCAGCTTTGGGTACTGTGATACAACGTTCTCTCACGTCAAGACGATTGCAGTTTTCTAGATCGAGTGTATCTAGTAGATCTGACTCAGGAGTTGATTTCATCATGGAGGAATGACAAGATTCTAAAGCGCCTAAAACGAGAAAAACTCCCACGAGGAAGCTGTAAAACAAAAAGAAACGTTGGCGAAAGTGAGTGATACTGCAATGAGACTTTTTAAGCGGTAGCGACAACGGCAAGCTATTGCAATGGTGTCAGTTCACAAGGCAGAGAGCGTCGTCTTGTTGGAGCATATTGAAATCGCCCGTATGGTTGGATCTGTTCGCTTTAGTGGGTCGCACAATTTTGTCTGTATTTACATAATATTTGTTTCTGAACAGTGCAACCTCTTGAAGCTGTTGTGCACGCGTCTGACTGGTGTAACCAATAATAGTAAAGTGCCTCTCCTTGAATGGTCAACGCGAATAACTTATAAGGCGCAACAATCATTTTTAATTTTTGTGATGGTCATACTAAAGCAATTTCAATTCATAATGAAAAGTTTTACGGATAAGACGGCAATGGCAAATAATTAAGGACCTCTGTTTACCGATACAAGTTGTTTTTATCGTATTGTATTATTCTGCTAATGCTTTTTTTTCGCAATGATGAATGCATGTCGGGGTTTTTTCCCTAAGACCCATGACCCACTTGTCTCTTCTGCCAGAAGGTTAAGTTTTAGTAAGGTACAGTTTAAGAAATCCATCAGGGATAAAGTATTGCGTATTGAAGGATAGGAGATATACGCCCGCGACATATTTAAATCAACCAAGTTTCTCTATTGTATTAGTAGGCGGCCACAGACTATAGATCAGCGAGGTCACATCTAGGTTAAATGAAATCTTGATAAAATAAAACCGTAAAATTGCTGAAAGAAATTTGTCTGTATTAGACCTTGAGGAGATGTGTCTCAAAAGGTTCTAGTTCTAGGGACTTCAAGCTAATATTTGTCGAGAGTTTCACTTTAACCTTAAATCGTACCTTGTTGCCTGCATTTTGCGTTAAAGTGCAGCCTCTCACTTTACACCTATTGATGAATGAACCGTATCACAACATTGTTAGCAGTATTCCACAGAGCGATGGCTGTTGCGATTTCATGGCACTACTATACTACAACGTTGTCTATAAGTATGTTTTACGAAACATTTATCTCAGTAAACCTGGTATTAATTAAGATTTTGAGTCTGTCAGTAATCAGACAGAGCAAATTCGACTGTATACTTTGTGATCCGCATTCGCACGAATGAAAGATAGCAAGTTCCTTTCATTCATACTCGCTTGCAAAGTAGAACCTTATAATCAAAGGGAAAAAAAAGTCGCCACTGATGTGTAAACTTAAAGATTCAGTTTTTTTTTATGTTTACGAATGTACTGTGGCCACAAAGAGAATCTCATGTCACTTTTTATCCATTCATTACAATCCATCGTTTGATGTTGCCAAAACATTTTTGATAGGAGCATACTGTTAAAAACTCATCATTAACAAGAGCATGCCTTGATCCCTTGTTGATCGATCTTTTATAAAAAGAAAATTGTTGAATTAATCATTATTAACCCCCTTGTCTTAAAATCTGCTTAAAATCTTTCATTTGGATTAGAACTGAAATGGATAACGGAGGTACCATCGCCAGCCGAGTTAAAGAGAGAAACAAACAAATCACCACGCAAGAAAACAACCAGACATAGACGTCCCAAAAATGAACTAGCATCAAAATACCTTCACTGAGATGGCAAAGGCTGTAAATTTGAGTAGATAATCCAATGGAAGACAAAGCTATTCCGCTTCTGAGGTATCCCCCTCTCTGGAGAGTCTTGCCGGCTCCGAATGCCAGATGCTGCAAAGAGTACCTCCTTATATACGGTCAACCTTGTTGGATCTGCCCCTCTAATCGGTGGGCAAAGTTTCACTTCTGCATAACAATAGAATGTTAGCCTTCAAAGCTGATATCGCAACTTATTTTTGGTCTCCTATTATTTTCAGACAAACACAATGAGAAGTAGAAGATCCGCAAAAGCAATATTTTGTTTGTTTTATGACGTAGTAGTTAATTAGATCAAATGGCCGTGGTCCCCTCGATACACGGAAGTAATTTTGAAGCTATGCGTTGGCATGAACAAATTTGCATTCCCTTAGTCATCGGATATCCTTAGTCAATTGATTCGGGGATCACGGAACGACCCTATATCGGTTTCAGGGATGAAGGAGTTCAAAGAAACAAATGATATTATATATTTGTATATATATATATATATATATATTTTTTTTTTGACGTAAAGCTACACCACGTCAACTCAACCATCCTAGTAAATTTTGTATCTAAAAATACGCTTCTGCAAATCACTCTAAACCTTGCTACTACACTCACTTGCTTTGATCTTTATGAAAACTTTCGTTATTTGGGAAAACTGTAAAGTTTTAAGAATATTCAGTCGTTGAAACGTCTGCTACTTTGATCATTTAGAACCTCGCCAAGGCACCGGTGTTTAAACATTTGGAAGTGCTGCTTTGATATTCCATTTAACTTCTTTTTTATGCCAAATTTTTCCGCAAAGTATAAACCTACAACCTCGTGCAGTGTTCTCGCACAATTACTATACGATTAAAAGTCGGTAGCCCTTTTTTTTTCGATGTGCATGAGTTTCTTTTTTTTCTGTTCATTTTTGTTTTCTGGCCTAAATGGTATTTAGTGATATCAGTAGTTCAGCTTCATAGAATTCATGAAAGAATATTATATTCCAGTTTAAACGAGCTTTCGTATAGGTTTCGTTTGAGAGTTCATTGTACAAGTTGAATTGAGACACCTTTGAGAAAGGATATCGGGTTATGATATTGTAATCATTGTGCAAAGTGCAACATTAAATGACCGATGCCAAAGAACCGCTTGTTACGGCAACAAGTTGTGTTCTTAATTTCTCTGTGCTTCTTTAAGTACGTAACTGTACTTTTTTTTTAGATGAAAGCACGAATTGACAATACGTATTTTTAGGAAGTATTGGATGAGTGCTAACAGATGATTAAACCGGCGATTCTTTTATGTCATGATTTTGCGGTGTCCTTCAAAAGGGTAAAAATTACATTACGCCTGAATCTAGTCACGCGACAGGAAAAAGATCTTTCAAAGATCTTTCAATAAGAGCCTAATATTTAAAGATATTTGGTACATGTTCTGTTTGCCGGATTTCATAGTTGAGCCCCTTAAAACTGTCGGGAACAGAAATGTCGTATTTGTAAATTCAAAATAAAAGTTTTTGTTTACCACATAATGTAGTCCGTCCTAAAGGACAGGCACTAACTCCTTTGATAACATATCCTTTATTAAAATAAATTAATTTCCAATTGCAATAAATAAACTCTATGAGCCTAAACGAAATGCACGGCTTTTTTGTTCCTCATCTTGCAAATTTTACGAACAGTTATGTTCTTTATTTCTTTATTTAAGTCTTTTCCAGACCCGACCATCGAGGCAACAGTGTGTTTCAAGTTACAAAATTATACAACACTTACGTCATTAAAAAGAACTATTATGATTCGGTGTCGTGAACTATAACTAACTCCTGCCATTGTGGAGTCCACCCAATATTTTTGCTTTTTCAACGCTATACGCTCTACTATAACGTAGGTCAATTGTTTTTCAAGCACCCACAAGTGCGTACTTCATCAACGATAACAATGACCAAACAAACAATGCACTCTGTCATTATGTTTATAAACGTGCATGTTCTCTCTGACGCACGTGTACTCACGTGCGTCAGAGAGATTTTAAATACATTTTTTTGAATTTTTTTTTTTACCTTGAATTTAAAATGACACTGTTTTCGAGTTTCCTTTGCCACTTTAGGTGATGTTACTCTTCAAGCAAAAGAAGTGTGTCCTTAAAGTTTGAAATATATACGCTGTTTCAAATACCCTAAGTCAACAGACACAAACAAATTTAGCTGATATAACAAAAATTATGAAGTGATATTGACAACCTAATACCGGTTCCTGCTTTCTTAAGTCTTTTGGTGATGTGCTTTTCTTCAGAAAACAAGAAAAAATAAAGAAGAAATTCATCGAATTGTTTATCATACAGGTACTTGGACACTGGAGGTTTTATCGCTGTAAGATGACAACGATTCACCTGATCAGATGGGTTTTCTCTGAAGCACTAAAACTTTAAGTTACTATATTACCTTTTGTCTGCAAACGACTAAAAAAACAGTGGCAATATAACCATAAGAGAGTCAGAAGGTCCGCGTTTGCCTTAAAAAGATCACCGTAACTTACTCCTACGACGTCGGAACGAAAATGAGTCTTGAAGCGTTATTAGCCCAAGGAAGGTGTTTTTTATGGTTCATTTAGTGAAATTATTTCCTAAACGTTTTTTTTTTCGGTCTTCGTGCGTTTGTCCATATTTGTAGTAAACAGCTCTCCCAGTTGTCCAAGTGAGTTTGCGTGACTAAGTCGGATTACGGAATCTTCTTGTCACACTAACATCACATACACGAAATATCCAACTGAGAGCAAAATGAATAAATGAATGCAACTCAGCCGTTGGATTCTTCTTGCTTTTTTCTTTTTTCACCCGTAAGCTTGTCAATTTTATGTATATTTGGCTTAATTGGTTGTTTTAATATTTTACGACCGTGAAAGATTTCGGGTGGCACAAAGATCATGACTAAGTGATATTTAAGATATTTATACCTCATAGACTTCTTAAAGAAATAGCTGCCGCTTACTGAGCACTCAAGTGGTACTGGCTTTTACTTATCGTGTACAAGGAAAAAAACAGGATTACAGTCATAATTTACCTGCTTAACTTTTAGCTAAGAGATTTGAGTCATATGGTGTGGTTTATTCCCTCTGACTCCATGCTTGTCTCATTTTCGTCCCAATTATATTCCATTCATCTATTTTGTCGTTCGTTGTACAATGATGTTCGCGTATGGATTTGACGAGAATCTTTGGATTTATTGGGTAAAAATAAAAAATCGTGAAGATGGTAGAAGTGAGACTGTGATGATCGAGGGTCGGTTTCATTCAAATATTACAAACTCATTATTGTTAGATCAACCGTGACCAGTGAGAAGAAATAATTTTAGTGTGGTCCACCAAAGATTTATTCATTCCGTTTAGTCGTCAAAAATATTTTTTTAGCATTATACTTTTCACTCAGTCCGTCTGTAATTTTTTGTTTCATCGACCTCTCTAGCTCATCAGTCTCTTTTATCTGAAAGGATGTATGTAATGCATTTACTAACATAAACACTGATTCTCGCATGAAGAGTTATAAACACTTGTGGCAGAAAACACTTGAACTTTAAAGAAAATTCACTTCCATTTATTTTGGCACTGACTCAGATAACAACACATCCGTTTCTTGTCAGGTAGCTTCACTGAAAAAAATTGTTCTGTTGACTTATATGTTAACAGCTTACAATGAAATTGCAATAAAATTGCAGAAACTCATAATTTCAGTCCCGCAATGCAATGCAAGAGTGAAGTGTAAGTATATTTTGTTCCCATAAGGTTTACACAAGAAAAGGAATGCTCTCGTTCTTGAAACCTTGACTCTAAGCCATCGAAATATAAGCGTTTAGCCAGAGAAAAGACATATGAATAAAGAGGGTAAGTTTCTAAAGAAACTGTGGTGCTGCGTCGATGGAGGTAACAAGCTAATTTGGTAATATCAACTAAGTTGAAATTGTAAATTGGCCATAGTAAACTCGGAGTTAAATATCTGACGTTTCGAACGTTAGCCCTTCGTAACAGCCCTTCCCATTCCCTCTAACGAAGGGTTAACGATCGAAACTTCACCTTTTTAACTCCGAGTTTAAGGTGCCCAATTTACAATTTCAACTTAGTTGATATTACCAAATTACCTAGCTAGAGAAAAGTTTTGAAGTGTTGTCGAATTTTCATTACTATTTTAAAGATAAAAGAACATGGAGTAAGACTATGACTCCGGTCCTTCATTGTTTTCAGAGAAGAACTCAGCAAAAAAATCAAAAAAATAAAGTAAGGTTTTGATCTGTGGAAACATTCCAAACTTTTGGCTTGACAAACCAGATGTGTAGCACTTTTGCCGTATGAGTGTGAGGTAACAAAACTTATCGGTTTGGTCACCCATAATCTGTTAAAAGAATATTTTAAAGACAATTTGTTTGTTTGAATTTTTAGTATGTATAGAGAAGGTGGCAGTTATCATGACATGGTTGTTACGTCAGAAACTTAAAAAGTAATTGATCGTCATATGATCAGTTCTTCAACTACGCATTTAGAAAGAGACATCCGCTATATAACAGTGTTTATACAGTGTTTAATTAAGAATAAATGCTAGCATTTACGTCAAAAAGATCTATATTTACTCGAATGACCTTTATAAAAAGAAGTCCTTCCTCTCCCCCCCTAGTTTAATATATTTGTCTTCTTCTCGCCTTTGGTTGGAACTTATTGCCAATGTATATATCCATATCTGATTTCTCTTATCCGCCAAGTTTTTGTGATAAAGTAGTGGAAAAGCTGAAGAGAGGACGAAGCTAGCGAAAAGAGTTGCTTTCACTTGAACTTTTTATAAAGCAGACCGAAATTCGATCGAGGAAATTGATAAACCGTATCAGCTGACGTACAAAATATTGGTCAGTGTAATAAACCACGGTACCACTTTATGTCTAGATTAGCAATCAGATTATTGATCGAAGGTAAGGCGTGAAAATATTTCGTAGACAGCTTAAAGTGAGTAAAACGGGCATAAAATCGCTCCTGGAACTGCCACTTGCGGAGCAAGGGAGAGTAGTACAAGTCAGAAAATTCAAAC